TGAATAGTTCCGACGACGGTGATCGTCTTCCTCCTCCGTCTTCTTCCGACGAACTCTCTAGCTTTCTCCGGCAGATTCTGTCTCGTTCTCCGACAACTCAACCCTCTTCACCACCAAAGAAGATCGTCTCCACTGCTGAGATGTTCGACCGGAGCTTCCCTTCTGTTTACGGGGGAGCGGTTTCTTCCGCCGCCGGAGATGCAGTCACTGGAATCGGTGAAGACAAATATGCATTTGAAAACAAGGTAAAGTAAAAATTTTAGTGTCCGTGAAACTTCACTCGCTTACTTCCCTTGAATTAAAGCTTAAATATTTTATTTATTTATTTTTGGTATCGGTAATGGAAACAACACTAAAGAGAAACGGAGCTAGACAGAAGAAACATTCCTTGAAGAGAAACATTGATGCACAATTCCACAACTTGTCTGAAAAGGTTTTGTTTTCTTTATCCTTTCAAGATTCTTAATTTGAATAAGAAAAAGAAAAAAACTTGATATTTTAGTAACCGTAATCTGAAATTTTGCAGAGGAGGAGAAGCAAGATCAATGAGAAAATGAAAGCTTTGCAGAAATTAATACCCAATTCCAACAAGGTTAATAAAATGTTTTTCGTTTTCTTTAGATTCTTGAGAAACATTGTTTGATTAATTCTTTTTTTTTTTTGTTGTGTGTAGACTGATAAAGCCTCAATGCTTGATGAAGCTATAGAGTATCTGAAGCAGCTTCAACTTCAAGTGCAGGTTTCTTTTTTTGCTTACTAATAGGATCATATACAAATCAAAGCCTAATTTGTAAGACATCATCATCATTTGATCATAACTTAATGACTTGCATAATGCAGACTTTAGCGGTTATGAATGGTTTAGGCCTAAACCCTATGAGATTACCACCAGTTCTACTGCCGACACAGACACGGATTACTGAGACCTTAGAGCCAGAGCTGAACCTAGAGACTATGCTTGGTGCTTCTCAGTCTCTCGTTCACTGTGAACCACCCGAAGCAAGTCAACAGTTGTGCTTTGGCACAGCCACTCTGCTTTAAAGGCAGCTTCAATCTGGTCAGATCCAGTAGTACCTGCGACAGACACAGGGAGTCATAGTATTTGTTTGATTTTCAAAGTTCAGTTAGGAATAAACAAAACTTGGTAGTTCCATTATAATGATGCCATTAAGAAGATAATATGAAAGACTAAATTTTTTAATTACATGAGATGATTATTACAACTATCAAATGGCTATGTCTGTGAGTTGTAGCCATCCGTAAGCACACCGGTCTCGAATACTTCGAGCCATGGATGCTGCTGGCTCAACCGCAGGTCTTATCTTCGTCATTGCTTTCTCTACTTGGATTCTGACACCAACATCCATCTGCTATTTCAAATGTCGGAGAGTTTATTAGGGATCCAGACAACGCAAATCGATTGTGATAATATCGTATATATATAAGAAGATTGTAAAGTAGAAACCTTTTCTAGAGAGCATTGTGTGTCTAAGATGTGGCAGAAGTATGAAAGCTGCTTGTACAAGTCTGCTTCAGTGTACTGTAACAAGGCGAGGCTTGAAGTCAAAAGCTGTTCAATGAAGCAACAAAAAGATAAAGAGTTCTTATAAGGTGATGAGGGCATATACCTTCTTTAAGAGGGTTCCGTTACAGTTAGGGTAGTTTGGGCAAACTGTTCCTCGTTCACGGTCACCGAGCAGACGAGAATTGGGGCTGCGAGTCGTGTGCTTGCAAGACTCGTCGTCACACTGTTGAAGGCAAAGTGTACAAGAAAAGCTTCATAAGCATGACATAATAACCATAGGTGTTCAGAATTATCGGATATAAACGAGGGAAGTGAGAAGGTTTTATGTACCATCATTATGCCTTTGTAGTACATTGAAACAAACCCGTCAATCTGCCTTTTCACCTGAAATGCATGAGATTGAGTTAATAACCAAAGCATGTGTTCTACTACACGCCAAATCATAAGGATAGATAATTTTTACTTTGAGAAACTCAGAAATTAAAATCCTTTTCAACAAAGCTTGCCTACCTGGTTAGCTATCATTGCAGGGGATATAGTTCCTGTGCTACCTTCTGGCTCACATTTTGGGCATTGCAGTTTAAGCCAGAATGTAGAATCAAATTCCTCTGTTTCAGGTGTTGCAGATTTATTACTGATCGACGCACAAACAGAACTAGTAATAGATGGACAGTTGAAAGCAGCAGAGCAGCTGGGGCATGTTAATGCTAGCGGCTCACAGCTTTTATATCTGCATTTTTTTTTCACGCGTAAATTACGTTGTTGCAGATCTTGAACTCTAAGAATGGAGAAAATACATGATAGGGAGGAGGCATGATAGCAAATTACAATTGGGACAAGATATCATTACCTTTCTTCATCGCTTGAAGCAAACAAGAGGGATGCAGAAGGATCACTGCCCTTAGGATCGTTTGATCTGCTTCGGTACTACAAAAAAAACATTATTTCCAGTCATTTATCATGAACTAAGACCATCGGAGATTAGCTTAAATAAAAGGTGTTTTTTACCTTTGATGGATCAAGTCCTAAACACTCGGCTAGACGCTCAGGACTCGTACCCTGAATCTCTGCGCATAGACGAGACACCACCGGATGAATCTGCTGTGCCAAGTAGTAATCTATGTCAACCATCCATCTGCTGTCGTCTGATTTCACCTCATCAGGATGCCTAGCACGTTCAGCAATCCCTGCTGAGCTGGCAGAGCTAGCATTACCCTGTGCAAAGGAAAAGTAAAAGATTTAGTCGAAAGAAGATTTGGTAATCTGATAAAATTAAGCTAGCCTTTTGTGTTGGGAACCTGTTCATAGCAGATTATATACGGTATAGTATCCTTAGCATTGAAACCTTCTTTATAACCACGTTGCCTCATCCTGAGGGCGACCTGAGAAGAACGATTCAACCACACAATCAGAGAGTTCAAATATTAAGCATAATTTTGGGGAGCAATAACACAAATAATAGCTCTCATACTCACTTGAACATGTGGTTGGCTTTTGGAATCTGGATAAGCTTCAGGCGGCTTAGTCAATGCCTTGGTGATGACATACTTCTCAAGCGCAACTTGCCCACTTCTCATTTCCTCTTTTATCTGTTGCATGGACAAAGCAACATTTATTGGATGATAAACAAGATCAAACTAATTAACGAAGGTTTATAAATGGAAACAAAGATTACCTTCATTAGTTCGCTATGAATTGCTTCAACAACATCCTCACATGGCCTGCAAAGAAGACAAGGCTTTGTTGCGATTTGCATGAGAGAGTAAAAAAAAAAGTTATGTCGTGGATGTTTTGGAACATACCCTCCATACAAGATTTTAGCCAGGCATAAATCTCCTATTTCCTTAGAGAGTAAGCTCCAATCTCGACGAACCATGTCCACACCTTTTCTTTCAATTTCCTGCATTGAGAATGCATCTAGTACCCAGACATTTTCTAAAAGATATGGTGGCCAGAATGTGTAAAACTGTAAATTAAAGGTTACCTCGTAGATCTTCCCATCCTTAAACTGCAACTTGACAGCAGCATACTTCTTTTTTCTAAGAAGAAGCATTCTCTTATATGTGCCATCGCAGTCAATTGTTAGAGATTTATACTTCTTATTGACCTAGAAATTGAAAGAGAGAAAGTGAGACCAAAAACCCAAATGTATGTTTCTTAAGGGTGTGAATTGCTTATAATTTGCTCAGATTAGCTTTTTCCCCAAGACCAGTTATACCAATTTGACTTCTCAATTGTGTGATGTTTCATGCATCAAGAAACAGAAAATCGAAGTTCCAAACATTTAATGCATATTGGTTTTAATCATACAAAGGTTTGAATTAAGGGTGCTTCATAAAGTAAAAGGCTGGAGACAAATCTACTATCTAACCTACCTCTCTGATGACTTTTGCTTTAATGGCATTCACCTCTTTTTGATCATCAAGTCCACTGTGAATCATGATTGAATCTGTGTCACCATAAATTACCTGCGTAAAAGCAAGATGTTCAATTCTACACTTAATTCTACACTTAATTAAGTAGAGATGTTGACACGTTACATCAACAGGAATCTCTACTGAAATGCATTTGTGAGACTCAAAATATAGGAGATACCTCCAGGTTTAAATGATTCTGGACAAGATCCACGGTTCTTTGCAGGATCTCCCTTCCCTGTAATGTTAGGGAATATCCTGATCACACGAAGAATAGAGAAAACAACAAAAAACTGTCGCTAGAAAACACAGAAAGCATAACTTACCTGTAGTGTTATGAGCTCTGCTAAAGGCTTAGCGTAAAATCTTGAATTAGAAAACCCCAGACATCCATATATACTGTGTTAAGAATGAATAAAAAGAAATTAATATCAAAATGTGGTGAATAGCAATTATTGCCAACGCAAGCTAAAACCAAAGATACAAACCTATTGGCTGTGAGCTTTATTGCCTGCTGCCGAATGTCAAGCTCCCATTTCTTGAGACCTGTTTCCTTCGCCATATTAACTTTGACGGTTCTCCTTAAGTCGACCAATTCTTTCATCAACTAAAACAAAGACAGATGTTGAGATCCATGATCTAATCTCTATTAGACTGGGCATAACAGAACAAGCAGAGAAAATCATAGTTGAGGCACTGAAAAATGCATGGCATGGAGCAATATTTAGAAGATGTCAAGATTAGTTTACTTGAACCACAGAAAGCAAAGCAGCAATCACTAATACTACACTAGACAGCTAAGTCAAAGTATTCTAAGGATTTTCCACATAGACCTTGAGAGATGAGGGAAAGAAAACGAAGCAGAAATATTTTATGTTTGCTTGTTAAATTTATATTTCGTTCAATAAATCTGATTGGGTTGGAATAATTTACAGAATTGAGCAACTAGCGCAATGGAGGAATATACCTTTGGGAGAATTCCAGGTGTCTGACTTGTAGGTAAACGAGGAACTCCATCTTCTGATTGTGGTATAGTCGTGAAACAGATATTATATTCCTGAAATTTACCATAACCGTCATCTAAAAAGCAAGGGGAAATCAGTCATCAAAGGCTTGAAAAAATAGAAATCAGTCTGCTAACCTGTATAATAGAAGGGTAAAGACTATTGAAATCAAAGAGAAGCACATATTTGTCATATAAGCCTTTCTTTGGCTCCAAGACCAGTCCACCAGCGTAGGCTGGACCCTTTTTTGTTCTCCCGCCCTTAGACGGATCATTCTCCAGAGCCAGTTCAGCATCCAATTCATCTACACTGCGGTCCTCTGGACCATGATTGATCCTTCTTTTAGATGACTTTATCTCCTTCATACGTTGCGAAATTTTGTCTGGGAGAATGTAATTTTTCTCGTAGAATGTATGTAGTAGGTAGTATTCGATTCTCTGGGCCCTCGCTCCCTGGTAATGGAAAAAAGCATGAGTTCCCAGCGCATAACTTCCCGGGGAGAGAGAGTGAGAGAGTAGATCTGACACATGAGTCATTACCTGAAGAGTTTTCCCCCAAAGATTGCCACTTATGTTAGTAAGTTGGAGAGTGAGAGGAAGAATACTTAGATGAAACATGAGCTCCATGGATAACCATGCATCTGTCTCACCACATTCAATCTGAACAGAAGAAAATCAAAAAGTACAAGCGAGCAATTAAGATGCAGTTGCACTCATCAACCTTACCTCAACTAATGTTTATCTGCAATTCCTTTACTTTCTACGTATGACTGTATCGTTTATTCTTCTCCAGTATGCACTAAATTATTTCGCTTGTAAGGAATCATAACAAATAGTCCCTAATGAGGCAGTATCAAGTCATACGCATAAAATAAACATGAGTGCTAACTGAAAACTTACAACTTCCACAAGTGTTTTGGATGACTGAAACATTTTGGGAATATCATTAGGCGCAATCTCTTTCCTGTCCCGGTTCAGCTGTGTCTTTGAAAGGTCCGTCAACGAATAGCTGACCTGCAAGAACCAGATGCTTATACATGAGGGGCTGAACTTTTCAACTCACTGCTTATAAGAGAATCATACCTGCTTCAACAAGTCA